CGGCCGCCCGCGGTAACGCGATGCTCGTGCCTGCCGCGTCCCTGGCATATGTGCTGCGCCCTGCCGCCGCGGAGCTCTCGGGTTGCAGCGCCGCTATACTACTACTCACTCCATTGTAAACATCTGGGGCTGGGGATTCGCACAGACCTCACACACATTTCATTGTCCCTTTTTTTTTTTTTTTAAGAAATAATTTCAAAGTAAAAGTCATAAGGCTGTTTCCATGGCTGTAGTTTTGAGCTTTTTTGTAGTACTAATTAGGCTTCTAGTAACAGCAGGCTTCTGGTAATGCATTTTTGGCTGTCAGTGCTAGAAATGTAACCTTTATTTGATTTTTCCTGCCTGTGCAATCTCAAATTGAAGTAACTGTAGTAAATCACGATATATTGCGTTGTAACTCTTCAGTGACTGCATCCCACTATAGCAGCATGCTGAAAAAGTAAGCTCCGTTATGCAAGTGTTTGAGTAAGCTTTCTTGTTTCACTGGTGGAGAACAGCTCTTTTGGTTCTTGGGTTGTTTTTTGCAAATCCAGATAAACCTAGGGACATATCCGCTGTTAAATTAAGACAAATTAAAGAGATATAAGTAGCTCCCTTATTAGCTGATACGTAAAGTATGGAATACTTTAGCAGGTTGCCATGCTGTATAATAAATATTACCGTTAATTCCTCTGTATTTCTATTAAATACCCATAATATGCGCTTACAAACAGGGAGGAGAGGGCTGCTGTATCATATGTCACTATTTCACTTGCTCCACCTTGCAACTTCACACTTTATCACGCGCTTAATGTTTATAAAGGCTTTAGATGTCAAAGCAGCTGAATCTTACCACCTCACTTTTATATTTCATAGAAAGCCAGTTTCTGGAAAAACAGAGCCATAATGAAGGCTTCATTTTGATGAATTTGTGTTTAACTAGGTCTTTGCACTGTATGTCTTACATTACCTTTGTTTATAGAGCAGTATAGTGAGATTCCCCTAAAATGGGATTCTGAAAGCTTTGCATGCATCTCCAAAAAGAGCAAGCCATTTGGTTCAGAATATTGCTGCAGAAAAGGATATAAGGAGCCCGATCCTTCAGTAGTGCATTCCGATAAGTAACTACTTATCCGAGCAGCCCCACTTAGCCAGCAAAACAGTTCAGTAAGTAAAGCTGTGTACAAGCATGAATTCCTGCAGAATCTTGCCGTGAGGAGGTAGAATAAACTGAGATGCCTATATACATCTTTCAAGGCCCAATCTGTCAGTCTGCACTCAAGAAGAATTCCCTTTAACTATAGGGTATGATTCTTTCTCCTAGTTTTCTAGTTGGCGCATCAGAAAGAGAACCGACATTATATCATGGTTATTTTCACATCTGCAGAATATCTACTGAAAGAGAGAAGAATTCTTTTGCATATAATACAAACCAATGGCTTTATTATACATAATTGTATCCTGTCCCTCAAGTTTATGTGCAATGGAGAAAGGAGTCCCATCTTCTCAAAACTACTAGCTTGCTCGCTAGCTCCATTTGCATCACTAAATCAGGCACAGTGTAAAACATCTTTAAAATGCAAGCGATCAGGATTTTGCTAGCAGAAGAAGAGTCAAAGTTATATGCTCTTCTTTACTGCTCATTATAATTGGTGGAATGATTCTTTTTATGTAAAAGCACATAGGCTGAGACTATTTGAATACTGTTACTGCCTCTTAGTTTCAAAGGTGTCAGTATCAAAATGTTGCAAGTGATTTGCAAAATCTATGCTTTTTGTAACTTCACATGTAACTGATCAGAATGCCGCCATAATCCCCAGCTAGACTGATTCCATGCAAATACATGGTATTATTAAGATATTCTAAAATGTGTAATTACATGCGAACAAATTTCTGCCATGCGTAAAGAGTTAGCCAGCCGGTCCATTAAATTGTAGCCTGTTAAACATTAAAACTATTCAATCTCTAATATATGTTCCTCTTTCATATTAAGTTCCTCTTTCAAAACCACACTTTCCTAAGCAAATAATAATTACTATTGTTACATAAGACTCTGTTTGAAATATTCTAATTTAGGGATTAATTTTCTTTTCTCATATGATAATGTTTAAAATCCATTTATGCTGCAGTAAAACCTTATCTGTAGGGCTGTAAGATCATGATATGTTGTGTAATTAGACAACAGCTTTCATGGCTGGCTGCCAGTTAAGCGCTGTCAAGCATGGGGAACAGTTGGAGAGAGTCAGAATAAACATTCAGAAAACGCAGTTTAGTCCCTAGCCTTTAAAATGGCTCATGCAGCATTCATAGATTTTCTCTATAAATATTGTGTAGCGTGCACTAAATAAAAGTTTACTTTGGCAGATGTTTTCCAACTTGATTGCATGTAATTATTACATCAGCCTTACTCTACCTATAGGATAATGGGAACAGAGGTGGCTTCTGACTGTTTTGTCAGAAGGCTGGGGAGCTTGCATAATTTAGCAGAGCTGGAGTGCGTCTGTCACTAGATATATATATGCTAGACAGTTTAGGTTTTGTTTTATTATTCCTTACATACAGAGTTTTGTCCTTGAAATGCAACCACTCAATACTAGCTCATACCTCAGCACCACGGCTGTGAAGCCCCTTGCCACCGCATAGGTCCGTTTGCATATGTGAATAAGGACAGCTGTACTGCTTTCTGGTTACTTAAGTACTTGCGGTGGAAAACAAAACCAAAAAAAACTCCAAAGATTAGTTGCAAAAGCATTAGCTATAACTTGACATCGGAGATGACCAAGAGGAGCTTCCACCATATGTAAAAATGGAGAAACAACTGCAAGCGGGCAGATTCTGACCTTACCTGTGCCCAGAAAACTTTTCTGAAGTCAGTGAATCTCTTTGGGTTTAGTGGGCAGTATGGTTTGGCCTACAAGATATATGATAAGCTGGTTCACAAAAGCTTGAACTTATTTTGGAGTGTTATGCTGTCAAAATACATTTTTAGTTGAATTGTAAGGCAACCATTAACCGTGCTATGAAGAAGTACCTGGACTTCAAACATAGTTACAGCAGAGAAACTGTGATACAATATGTAATGCTTAATTAGCATTAACCTGCATTTTGTAGTAGGAGTTCTGCCTGAGCAAGGACTGCAGGATAAGGCCAACAATTAGGTGCATGTTTATGGAGAGGAGTCTATGTTAATATACGACCAGATGTTAGTAGGAAGAATTAATGGGGCGATTCTTACAGGCTTTGGACCAAGCCCTGCTTGCAGTGCTATGCAAAACCTACAGTAGATGGCGGCACAGCCACTGTCTGGTGTCACCTCCACTCAAAGTAGGTGGACAAGAAGGGACCAGATCCTCAGCTGTATGAGCCTATTTTGTTCCAGTAAAGCTGCAAGGGCTTACGCTAGCTAGCCAAGAGGCTATTAATTGACCTTCTGAACGTTCAAAATGGATTAATCCAAACAGTAGAAAGGCACTGTAAGTGCAGAATAAGAGTGTTCACTGGTAGCTAGCATGAAATAATTAGCTACTCTTCACAAGCTAACCTATTCCAGGCTTTTCCCCTGAGTACGCAATTGTCTTTAATACACAGCTTTAGAATCTGCTGAAGTCTCTGGTAGTTCTTGGTTATGCTGTAGTGAGTGTGGGATCAGATTAGCAACATAGTGACTCATAGCAAGAAAGTTTCTAGTCTAAATTCTGTAGCCCAAATGATTATAATTGAACTAACTGTTAGAAACAACAAATATTACTATTGAGGGTTTTAAGTGTGTGCATGTATATGTAACATATAAATACATTTGCATGTTGATTTGTATGCATGCAAATAGCATTAAAGGGTAGTGTTCTGATTAAGTATGTGTAGTTTGATACTTAGTTTTGGAACATAAACTAAATCTCAAGCCATAAACAGTCTGCATCATTAGCATATAGATTTAGCTGTCTACAAATCAAAGTTTTCACCTATTCAGGAGTTATTTCCTGTGACTGAATTTGTACCTATAATCAATGTTCTCTGGTGTAATAAAATCATAAAGCTTGATAGCTATCTTAACTTCAGAGACACAGCTTCAAACAAATTAGAATATTTGCTAAAATAGATTCTCTTGCTCTTGAACTCTTTTTCAATTGGCTGTTTGAGGTTATGAGCTCTTCACGTGCTGGTGTTTGTAAATTAATGTGAGACTTTTCTTTATTTTTCTAAAGGCTGCTTACTAGGCATATGTGCTTCATTGTTTTACTCTCTATAGCAATCTATTATATTTGTTACCAATTAAAAAGACTGAAATAGGAAATAATACTGTTTCAGTGAACTATTTGAATCTTGGGGGTTTAACAGGGAGTGTATATGTTCTTATGTAGATAGTTTCTCATTTTTAGTCTTGATTTTATTGATTTATTTTTTTTCTCCAGAACTCAGTTACATAATTTATAACCAGCAGTGTACACATCAGGCACGTAGGATTTATGACTGTGGAAAGAATTGTACTATTTAATGTCTTCAT